CACCCTTTTAATTTGTTTATAAGTATTTTTAAGATTTAAAGTGTTTCCTAGTAGGAAAACATTATCTGAACAAATATTATAATGGCAAACTGCTGTAAAATGTTACAGTTGTATTTAGAAAGGAGGGGTAGGGATTCTCCTCAAAGCACCCCAGCTTTCTTCATGAGAAGGTCAGAGGTACACTGCTTTGTATTATTGTGACATCCATTGGGTGGTCCAAGTTGCTTTTCCTTCAGCAAGGGCTCTATTTGTCAGAAGGGCATTATGATTGACCTCCAAATTTGGCTGACAATTTACTGATGAGATTCATAACCTTTGGGTTGCTCTGATATTTTGACATATTTGCTGGGTTCTGAGCCACATCCTGGAAGGCCACCATAACTTCTGGATCCTGCATGGCTGCAAGGACCTCTGGATCACTAAGGATTTCGTTGAGTCCAGGCATTCCTGCCATCCCAGGCACACAGACCCCATTCCAGGCATTCCTCTAGGAAAATTCCCAGGCATCCCCCCAGGAAAGCCACCTGGAAAAGAGCCAAACTGAGCTCCTGATTGTCGTCTGGCTTCTTCCTCCCTCTGGGCTTTCTCATGTTCTTCCCGAGCCTTCTTGACCCTTTCCATCCTTTCTTTGATCTCTCGCTCTTCCCATTTCCGCTCATACTTCGTCTGATGTTCTGCGGTTTTCTAGGCCTTTGGTTGAACTTCTTTCAGCATTGCACTGGCATCTTCATCATAGTCCAATTTACACGCAAGGGCAAGATCATGGGCTGCTTCTTCCGAGTGGCCCAGGAGTCTGTGTGCTTTCCCGCGCCACTTGTAAGGCTGAGCTGAATCAGGATTTATTTCAATAGCTCTGTCACAGTCTCAGATAGCAGCATTTGGCTTCTGTAATTTGATGAAGACACTGGCTCTCTTGGCATACAGAATAGCCAAATGAGGATTCAGCTTGATGACATCTGTGAACAAGTCTATGGCTTTCTGTAGTTCACCATCATTTAGGGCACATGTGTCAAACACAAGGCCCGCGGGCCAAATCCATCCCGCCAGGCCTTGCAATGTGGCCCGCACCGCGCTGTCATCACTGCACTCCGCTGCGTTTCCATCACAATGACAGTTTATGACTGTTCAGTAAACCATTCAGCCCGCGATTTAGGCTGGATTTTAGATTTTGGCCCCTTCTCTGATTGAGTTCGACACCCCTAATTTAGGGCATCAATAGCAGCCACTTTTTTACCATTTGCCTGATCCATCATCTTGTCAGTTATCTCTACATTTTCATCTCCCATTTCTTGAGGAGCGTCAGTGTCTGGTTCAATCACACTCTCATTGTTGATTTCTAGATCACTTTCCTCACTTGATGGTTCATCTGTCTTTATGTCTTCCTCCACCTTCTTACTATCTGTTTTTTCCTCCTTATTTTCTTCTGTTTTAGTTTTATGAGTAGCAGGTGTTATTTTACCTCCCATACTCTCCACCCACTCCCGCAGGAAGCGCATCTCCTCAGCGTGTAGCACGCTCGGGTCCTGCTTGCACATCTTCAGGAAGGCGCGGAATTCGCTCACTTTGCGGGGGTCCATGGCTGGGTGGGCGGCGGGGCTGCGGCAGGCACCGGAAAGAGAGTAGAATTTATTTTAGTTTTACACCATGTTGGCTTGATTTGTAACTTTTAAATATTAGAAATACAGTATTGGAGGCCTCCACATGTACTTTGCCCAGGCTCTGCAATGGCTGGGTAAGGCCTGCAACTGAGCTAGAGATTGTGAAGGTCTCAGTTCTTAAAAAACCTGGTTGGTTGGTCATTGTTATATATTAGTGGCCAAGTAAATCTTTCCCACTAGTACAAAGGGAAGAAGGGTGTTTAGTCACTAAAATCTAGGAAGCTCAATCTCTAGTTGATATTTTTAATTAAAAAATTTTCTTAAAATTAGTAAATTCTAACAATTTGAAGTTCATATTTTCATATAGAAGATTCTATATGTAAAAAAATGTAAAATTAGTTCTCTTTTTCTTTCCTCCCGACCCCTTTCTCTTTCTCATTCCTCCTGGCGTATCAAAGAGGTAAACTATTTATTTATTTATTTATTTATTTATTTATTTATAGGGTCGACAACTAAGTAATTGCGGGTTTCACACATATATGGATTCAGTTGAATTTTTAGGTTTGCAGACGTAGTACAAATGTAAAACACATTTTGTTATTTGATAGTTGGCTATTCAGCTGTTAATCAGTAAAAAAAGTTCTTTGATCTGTTTTGTAGTTTTCGTTTGGCGTTCGTTGAAAAATGGAAAATCAAAAGGAACATTTTTGTCATATTTTGCTTTTTTATTTCCGCAAAGGGAAAAACGCATCGCAAGCTCATAAGAAGTTATGTGCTGTTTATGGTGACGAAGCCTTAAAAGAACGGCAGTGTCAAAATTGGTTTGCCAAATTTCGTCCTGGTGATTTTTCACTCAAAGATGAAAAACGCTCTGGTCGTCCAGTTGAAGTTGATGACGCCCTAATCAAAGCAATAATCAATTCGGACTGTCACAGTACAACACGTGAGATTGCAGAGAAGCTTCATGTATCACATACATGCATTGAAAATCACTTAAAACAACTTGGCTATGTTCAAAAACTCGATACATGGGTTCCTCACGAACTGGAAGAATCACAGTTAATGCAACGCATTAGCAGCTGCGATTTGCTAAGGAAACGTAATGAAAATGATCCATTTTTAAAACGACTGATAACTGGCTATGAAAAATGGGTTGTTTACAACAATATCAAGCGGAAAAGATCGTGGAGCAGGCCAGGTGAACCAACTCAAACAACATCAAAAGCTGATATTCATCAAAAGAAGGTTTTGTTATCAGTTTGGTGGGATTACAAAGGAATTGTCTACTTTGAACTCTTACCACCCAACCGAACGATCAATTCTGATGTCTACATTGAACAACTAATGAAATTAAACAATGCAGTTGAAGAAAAGCGGCCCGAATTGACAAATCGAAAAGGTGTTGTATTCCATCATGACAATGCAAGGCCACACACATTTTTGGTCACTCGGCAAAAATTAATGGAGCTTGGTTGGGATGTTTTGCCACATCCACCATATAGTCCTGACCTTGCACCATCTGATTACTTTTTGTTTCGATCTTTACAAAACTCCTTGAATGGTAAAAATTTCAATAATGATGATGATGTCAAATCGTACCTGATTCAGTTTTTTGCTAATAAAAACCAGAAGTTTTTTGAACGTGGAATTATTATGCTGCCTGAAAGATGGCAAAAGGTCATTGATCAAAATGGGCAATACATTACAGAATAAAGTTATTTAGTTCCATGAAAAAATTGTCTTTGATTTTCTTTTAAAAATCCGCAATTACGTAGTTGCCGACCCAATATTTATTTATTTATTTATTTATTTATTTATTTATTTATTCATTTATTTATTTATTTTTGTACGTAAACTAGCCAGAAATCCAGCAGCTAGCTGAACTAGGTAGGCTATAGTTAGGATTGGCAAAATGACTATGGACCCAAAGGCACCCTTTTATTGAGCTGCCGGAAGACACAGTCTCTCTTTCACTGCACTAAATTTAGTATTTTGTACTGAAGAGGTGATTGGAAAACAGAGAAGTTAAAAAATTGATACCCAAGGGAAGGAGAGTCATTGTTTCATAAAATAAATTCTGGAATAAATATGATAATTTTCTCAGTTGGGTCACCACAAGAAAATTTACGGGACAAAAAGAGATTCAGGAAGTATGTTGAGGGAAAGTGCCTGGCTGTGCAGGTGTTTCACACACCAGAAATGCTGGGCATGTTAAAGTCATTTAGTTCAGCACAAAAAAACACAGGGAGAATATAACAAAGTAACAAAGTCTAGCATTTGAGTCTCAATTTTGTTGCTCACTATGTGTGTGACCTTTGATGCACTTTTAATCCCTCTTTGGGTCTCAGTTTTCTCATACACAAAGTAGGGATAAACCTGCCCTCCTCATAAGGTAGGAATGAAGATTAATTCAGTTGATGTTTACGAAAACACTTAGGAGAGTGGCTAGTGTGTAGTAGATGCTGTAGAAGCATTTGTTAAATACCAGAATAAAATGAGAGAAGAGAAAATTAAAATTCAGTGAGGTGGTTGAGCTGTACCCAATCACTCAGTGAATTAATAAAAGACCCTCCATCCAACACAGATATTAAAATATCCCTATTTCAGAAGGCTGCATGGGTAAAAGCTGATTTTGGCCAAAATAAACGATCTATTTATGTCTCTTATATTTCTAAAGAAGAAACAAACAGAACTTGAAAGAAATATTACAGTACAGTTGTCCTGATAAATGGTTAAGTTTTTGTCTTGCCCCTTCTATATGTTATATGTTGTTTTTCACATTGTTATTCCCTTTGAAAGTTAACTTCTTATTCTTGGACAATAAGTCTATCAAGATAGGTCAAAGATAGGTCATTACTGAAGTCAGTTCACTATTACAGAAAAGGGGCCAATCCTCCTTGCCCCTGCCCACTCACACACCATCACTGCACTGTGACTGTCATTACAAAAGTATTGCAAATAAACGAAAGGAATTGAGAAATGCACAGAGCATAAAAAGAAAAATAAACCTCAATCACAATCCCACTACTCTTGAGACAAGCACTGATTGTCCTCGATATAATCGTGTATGGTGTGTGTAAATAAATTCTGAAGAGTGGACTTCAATTGCCTATTCTGCTTTGCAACCTACTTTTTCAAAAAAACAAGTATATCAAGAGTATGCTTCCAAATCACTGAAATGGTTTTTAAAAACAGAGCCCATTTAATTGCTGTATATTATTTCAATATATATAACCCCATTAGTGGGACATTTAAGCTTTTCCAGATTTTCACTATTATAGGTGTAATTGAATGACATTAAAATTTGAACATTGCAGAATACATTGAGAATAAACCGGGCTTGTTTTCTAGGCCATGGGTTCATTATAAAATAACAAGTCTTTCTTTCCTTCTCTCTCCAAGGGCCTGCAGGGGATTCCGAGTCCTGACCATCTGGATTTTCCTTGGTCCCAGGAGCAAGTCAACAGGCCCTTGTTTTCAAAAGTGTGTTCACAATGAGGTGAGTCGACTGGGAGTTCTAGGCAAGGAAGGCTTAAAGGTTGTGAACTTCTAGAGTCCTGAGGGAAAAGGGCCAGTCTAGAAGCAGAAGGAAGGGTGGGATATTCCCACACTGAGAACGAGGTGGGATTTCTCAGGAGGGAAGAAATCCTCAGGGGGTGGGGTTGGCAAGAAGCTGGTGGTGGCATCCTGGAAGTGGCAGGACTTGGAATGGGGGGCTGTGGGATGTCTTGGAACTGCTCTCTATCCCTGGGACTGAGTTTGGTCCAAAGGGCTTGCAATTACCCACAGAGATGCTAGGCTTTCCAATGTGTATCAAATACAGAAAGCAAAATGTGTAGGAACTACCTTTCCTAAGTTGTTGTACTATTGATTCCCCACAATTCCAAGGGATGAAAGAGGAAAACCAGAACACAGAAAAATTATTAGCTTCCCACCAACCCTAGCTGGTGATAATAAGCCAGACTTCATTTCTTTGGAAAAATTCCATGGTGCCCAAGCATCAGGTGGACTTCTCATGTATGTATAGCCTAGTATGCCTGAGTATCTGCTTAGGGTAAATTCTTAGAAATGAAATCACTAGAAAAGGAGTCCAAATAGCTTAAGGCTTTTGTATATATTGTGCAATATTTATAACTTTCTTCATGTTTCAAGTCTACTGATTCTTCTAGGTATCCATCAGAAAAGATTGTTAAGGAAAAGGAAGAAAAGTAAAATTAGCCAAGCTAATTGATCATTAAGTGTAATCCATCATTAAATCTAAATTTTCATTTATGTTCTACCCCATCCCAGAAGACTTCAATTACTGGATTACTTTATTGATAAACCCAAGAGATAGTTAATCATTATGTAAGCAAATAACAAATTTCCATATACTATATTGACATTTACTTTATCATTTATGCAAATTGGCAAGCAATTGCTTAAAAGACTGGAAAGAGGCAGTAGAATAAATAGAAGTAAACTGAAACCGGCCCCTCAAAACCTGCTGAAAATATCTTAAGTGGCTATTCAGTCCTCTTATGGCAAAACCTAACTCCTTGGCAAACTCCCCAGTTGTATAACCTTGGGCAAGTTACTTAACTTTTCCGAGCTTCGATTTCCTCTTCCATAAGTAAGGGGTAATAATAGAACTGACTTCATGGATTGTTGGCAGATTGAAAAGTGTTAAATGTGATATATTAGAAAAGTACCTGGCACTTCATGAGCACTGTAGATATCACTATGAGTGGGCAGCATGCTACCCAAGGCGTGCCTCCCTCCTGACCCTCCAGGGTTAGCACTCACACTCCAGTCACCCTCGGCCCCAGTGATACTGAGATACTTGCAACACTCTAACCTTCTCTCGCTCTCATTTTTCTAGTTTTTGTACCCTGGGAAGACCTGTACCCCTCCCTTTCCTAGTGAATGTTATCATCCTTCCAGATTTAGCTCCTCTGTTATCTGTCTCCCTGCAAAACCCTCAATCTGAGCTGGGCACATTTCTGATGGTCACGTATGAGATTTAGCAGAGTGTATTTTAATAGTCCATTTACATGCTGAACTCGGGGAACAGGCCAGATTTTTTGTTCTAGCTCCAGGCCTCAGCCCCGTGTGGCCCATCACAAATATCCAATACTCATTTGCTGAGTGACTGCATTTGTCATAGGAACATTGGGGAGGAACAGGAGTATTTTTATTTGTAGTATTTTCAAGCATTTCCATAAACATTTGATTCATATAGAACAAACACACAAGGCTAATTCCCACTTTTACGGAGGTGGCAAATGAGGCTCAGGGAAGTAAAAGGCTTTGCCTAAGATGTCATAGAAAGCCAGAACAGAAGCCCAATTCCTCTCACCCCTTCCTGGCACCACTTTTTTTTGCATTACATGGCTCTTTCTTTCTAGAGCAGTCTCCAGAAGAGTACTTTTGGCTAAGGGCTGATCTCTCCAAGTTGGAGTTACAAGAAAGGCAGAAATGATAGCATAAAACCTGGAGATAATTAGCTGGTTGGAAATGGGGAGTAGGCTGATGAGGGGAAGGAATAAAGGCCAGGTTTTGGACAGGTGTTTTGGGAAGATGAGCGAATGGCCCAGCGATGCACCCTGCCTTTTGGCTGGAGAGGTGGATCAGAGAGTCCTTATGCCGTTTACCAGGGCTTTAGGGAAACCCCACTCATTCTGGCCTCTTTCCTACCTGCCTACCTCTCTGGGCCTTAGTACCTTTCAAAACCTGCCTCTGTAATCCTGGTCCATGGCACATGGAGGCGAGTCAGGGTTCACCAAGCATGCGAAAACTGGCTGCCCACCGCTTTCCTCCGATCCGCTATACACTTTCCATTCAGACCTGTGCTCAATGTCTCACCTGCTGTTTTTCTCTGCTAAGTCGTCAGCCTTGGGTTTTAGAAGATGGGGGAGGCAAGAAGGATCCACTCTTAACCATGGTTATGTTTATGCTCAAGAAGAATGACCCCTCTTCAGAATCTCATGCCGCAGGTACCAGTAAGAAAGGGGCAGTGACAGCGCTTAATTGCATTGCACCTCCCTGGAGTCTTTAATTAAATGATGTTTTTAGAATTTTGGAGAGTTGAGCTGAAGTGCTCTTTTGTGCTGCCTTTGATTTTCAGTCCCTTCTGCTCTGTGAGCTAGATCATGGTCATCCTTGATACATTTCTGTCCAGTTTCAAACGGCTCTCAGATCGTGTCTCATTTGTGTCTCACACCCATGTGCTTGGAGCACATGGATTTCAGCAACTTAATGTAAGGCAGCCGGGGAGCCAGCAGATCAGAAACTCAGCTCCTAACTGCAGGCTCTGGCTCTTCCCTCACCCCTCTGAGGATATTCCTCCCAGGACCCATCTCACTCCCAGTCCCAGGCCATTCCTACAACATAAAGATTTCTGAAATCAAATTTTGAAGATAAATGGTTTGGGGAGGAAAGGGCTGAGTGAACTTTTATACCAAGTTAACAAAGGCAGAGATCCCATTTAAATTCTCATCCCATCAACGTTAGCTGTTTTGCCAGAGTCATAGTAAATGATCACTCCTTGTAGTCTCAGAAAAGATTTCATGCCCCAACCCGTTTGACACCATGGATAGAGCCTGCAGACTGAAGAATCCCTGGTTCCATTCTGGTCACAAGCATGTCCCTGGGTTGTAGGTTCCATCCCCGTGTAGGAGGCAACCAATCAATGTGATTTGTCTCTCTCTCTCTTCCCCTCCCTTCCACTCTCTCTAAAAACAAAACTAATGGGAAAACATACTCCTGCGAGGACTAACAACAACAACACAAAGATTTCATTCATTTACAACAATGGGCCGTTACAATAAGGCCAGCTGATAGCAGGAAGGCGGAGAGATGCTGGGTAAAAAGTGTGGACTATGGTATGAAAAAGGCCTGACTCTCAACCCTGCGTGGCCATGGGTGGTCTGTGTGACTTTGAGAAGTTATTTCTCTGGGCTTTAGTTTCTTAATTTTTGCAATGCAGATATTAACAACTACTTTGTAATGTGGAAAGGCTCCCAATACCATGTATCTCCAACACTTAGAATACCAACTTGTAAGCAGGTGCTCAGTAGAAATCTGCTGAACAGATGAAGTGAATTTGCAATAACTTGTGGTATACCCCGCACAGAGCCCGGTGCATGGTGACCAGAGCTTTCAGCCATCAAATCTCTACAGAAGCACCAAGCAGCAGACACGTTTCCCTAAACGAATCTGGCAATGGAATAAAAATCAATGTGTGTGAAAGAAAGACATCATTTGTTTGGTTGTTGTGAAACCAACTCTCCCTATGGTCATTTCAAAGACCAGAGGGGAAGAAAGTATCTTTTAGATCATCTTGAAACGTAGTTAAGGAAAGGGACTTTACCTCAATCTTCCTCATGCTTTCTGGCTGACAAGTTTAGGCTAGCCGGAACCTCTGGTGAGTTTGTGAAGTTCAGGCCACTGGTACATCCAAATTGCATCACATTTGCACATCTTGTGTAAGTTCACAATGGGCCATTGTCTCCTCTGCCCCAGGGCACGAAGGCTTGTCTGGAAAAGGTTAGTTGTTGCCATTAGGGAACCTTGTGCAGCCAAGACTGCAGTGCAATGTGAAGCAGAAACAAACCCGGGGCTCTCCAAAGGATTGCCAAGCAATTCACAAATGTGTTTACTTAAGAGGTAAGCATAACACATAATCTTGTATAATATTATGTCTAGGAAAGTTCTGTGACTCTTGCTGTAAAATGCTCACATCGTATTCGAACAATTGCTTCACATTCACCTAACAGGGTCTTAGATCAATTTTCAGCTTTATCCAAATGCCTTTTGGTAAACTAAACAAATTTTGATTTCTTGATCTTTTACTTCTACCTCATTTATCCAGTTCTTTTTTTCCTTATTTTAATATATTATTATTATTTTTTAATTGATTTCAGAGAGGAATGGGAGGGGGAAAGGTTAAAAACATGAATAATGAGAGAGAATCATTGATCAGCTGCCTCTTGCATGCCTCCTACTGGGGACTGAGCCTGTAAACAGGCCATATGCCCTGGCCTGGGATCGAACCATGACCTCCTGGTTTATAGGTTGATGTTCAACCACAGAACAACACTGGCCTGGCTTTCTTTTTTCTTGGCATACCTGAGACTAGTCTTGATTAAGAAAATCAGCATTAGCCTTAGAACCTCAACAAGCAAAAAGTGCCATTGGAGTTTCTTGAATGAAGTGTATGGACGGGGAGAAGGACTGACAAAAAAGGGGTAACTTTCTGTACTGTGTTGTATCTCACAGTGTTTCCAGAGCTAGGAAATGCATAGCTTTGAAACAGTGAATCCAATACTCATAGAGCTAACAGAACCACCTGATCCGGGCTTCAGGCAACTGAATGTCTAAATCTTCTAAGATTCATAATATTGGGAATTTCTCAACGTGGAGATCTTCAGGGATAGAGGCATCACTGTCTGCTTCAGTAACTGACTGGAGGGTTAATTTTTCCCCCCTGTCTTCAACTAAAACTTCTCTTATCTTTAA